TATATATATATATATAGTTATTTTAAATTCTTACTTTTGAAGCAAAAAAAATGTTAAATGAGTGATTTGCGTTGGTCTGCGTTGCACATAAAACCAAAACAGTCAGTTGCAAACGAGCTCGTAGCATTAAACAGCCTATTAATAACGCAAAAATGGGATTACATAATAAATAAATGCATCCAATGTAACAGTAATTATCACCTTCCTATGTGTTATGATTATAATTAGTCACAGGAACCCACACTTTCGTTGCATTTCACTATTCAGCTGCGGTGTTTTCTTACATTTGATCCCAGAGACAGTCACGCACGTGTCCATATGCTCGCATAATCTCTATAAAATGACGGTGATGGTGCTGTTTACTGCTTGTTACAAGGAACACTGCTGCTTGGTCGGTTCCCTTGGCAACACTCACGCACACGCAGTGCTGAGCCCCACCTGTACAGCGCTACCTCGTTGGATTTGAGTCCTGCTGCCATTGTGGATCCCGTCGTACGTGTGGCATATACAGTATGCGTGCGGGTATGTTGATTGGCATCCTAAGATGGAGGAAAGGAGGGGTATTGTGTTGGGCGCGGGGGGTTGAGCGTGTTTATTTCCCAGAAATTAACTTGCCTTTTTAAAGAATGTGAGCACTAATGTGATTGGTTTCAGGTGATGACAGTTTGGGCAAAGCCTCTCCGGGGATAGGTTATTAAATGTGGGAGTGAGGCGAGGTTTAAGGTCAGGTTAAGGTTGGAGGTCTGCTCGGGGTTGAGTTGTCAATCACTTCAGCAAGATATTAGCGGGGAGATGTGCGCGAGAGGGCGGGTGGGTGGTTGAGCGTGTGTCCATCAGATAACAGAGGGTAAGAGGGAAGAGGGGATGAGTGTGTGAGTGCTGTGGGGGGATTCAGACGGGTGATTAGTGCTGGATTGATAATGTTCTATATCGAGACTCAGTGGATCACTCTTCTCACATTCTTGCACCTCAACGCCAGCACTTCATCACAGGCACGTGTTTTCATGCACACACTCCTCACACACGTGTCTTCCTTCCAGCACTGCTCCCGGCTATCGCACACACACACATACACACATACAGGCATGATTTAGATGGGGATCAGGGTTATGACTGACCCCTGCATATTTAGTCTGGATGCAGCAACAGGGTGGCCAACCTGTTCCTCTCTCTTATTAAACATTGCACAGTGCACACTCTACGTGGCCTTGGCTGCTCTCTTCCACTTTATGCACAATATGTTCTCGCTCACTTGACCCCCACCCCCCCACACACAAACAGCCCCACGCTCTGCAGTGAGGGTCTAGCAGCATCCACGCTCTGTCCCAGTCCTCTGTAATTCCAACAACAACGGCTCTCGCTCAGTGCTTTTTGCATTGCGTCGCTCCTTCGCCCTTCTCTCCACCCCACCCTCCCTCCTCCCCTGCTGCCTTCCTGCCTCCCTCCCTCTCGCTCTCTCTCTCTCTATTAAATTTCCAGTCACACAACAGTGCAGTGGATATCCCTCCCTCTCTCTAACTCTCACACACTCTCCACCAACACGTCCCTCCTTCCCTCCCTACTCACTGTCCTCCTCTCCCTCCTCTCCCTCCTCCCTCCCACATACATACCTCAGTAGTCTGTGGAGGTGTTGTCGTCGTCCCGGATCTCTCCCTAACGCTAGCTCTTGATATTGACTGTTCTCTCCCCTCCTTCACTTTGAACCTCTCAATCTCGCTCACTCTTGATATAAGGCTGCTCTCTTTTCACCTCCAGTTGTCTCACCTCCCCCCTCTCTCCCTTTCTCCTCCCTCCTTGCCTCATTATTTAAAAGAGCCCCCTCACATTTCCTCCTCTTCCTCCCCATCCCACCCTGTTTGTATCTCTGTACTGCAGTGTCTGCTCAGGCTATATGGTATGGAGTATAACCTTCCCTCCCCTCTCTCTCCCTCTCTCCCTCGCTGGTGGGTGTGCGGGGCTCGCTCCATCAGGCCAGACTTTAACTGACTGATTGAGTGGACACCACAGGCCGATAAATGAATAAAGATGGGAGCCACTGTGAGGATTAATGTGCCTCATATGAAGACAAAAAGCTTGCCATCTAGTATTTCTGCCTCTGCCCTGTGGATGAGGTTGCTCACGCCTTCTGTGCTCTGCCTTGTATTGCTGTGTGTTATGCTGTGCTGGCATATTGGTTGAGAGATGTGCAGGCGCTCTCTTTGCCCTGGGTTATGTTTAGGTCCTGTGGCCTCGGCGGTAGCTGCTGTGCCGGGGTGAAACCTCTGCCATCGCCTTACTGCGCTGGAATGGCGTGGTGAGAGGAACTGGGGCAGATATGCCGGTGGTGTAGGGAACAGGCCTCCTGCCTTTCTCCTCCTGCCGCTCCCTTCTCACATGCTGTCTCAAGACTGAACTCTTCGCAGCCTCCGAGGCCCTAACAGAGCCCTGATCCGTATCTGATGGCGAAACAGCACGCCACAGGCTGCAGAGATCCTAACCCATTTGATACCAAATTGAACATTCTGGCTGTCGTGACAAGCAAGCAAGGGTTGAATGCTCCGACGCTTATGGCAGTGTAGACCATAAAACACTTGGCTTTCACCCACAGAAAAACAAGAAGCTCCTTTAAACACGAAGTTAACCAAGCCTGTATCTGCAACACTAAAGCTAATACTCCTCCCTTATCACTAACAGCCCTATCTGGCAACCGCATCCATTAGGGCTCAATGGAGACATTGATCCTCCCACACCCAGGCCAAGTGGACCTCGACCACAAAGCTCCTGAAGACAGATCCAATTTTAGGTGTTATACGCTGCTCTTACCTGCCTCCTTTTCCTCATCGTCTCTCCACATGCACCCTAATCTCATCATCACATCTTCAAACATGACCACCGCAACTCATTCGCACTACGTGGTGAGGCTGAATAATAAGACATGTCTCTCGTGCCTTTCTGTCTCTCGCTCCTGTCAACACCTCCTCCGGCAGGGCGTAAAGCAAACTCTGCCACAGGCCTATAAACCCCATTATGCCGAGCAGTACTTCTTGCACCATGCTGTATAATCTTCATCTCTAGCTTATAGCCAGGCCAAACTGGCCCTTAAACTGGTCCGCTGCTTTCCTCGCGGTGGCAACGCAGACAGCAATAACCAAAATGTCACCCAGCCATCAACATTTTAATTTCAGGCCCAAACCACTTTGCAGTAAAAAGTGGTCAAACAGCACAGACTATGGGCATACTGTGTGTGAGGATGTGTCCCGGCACGTAAGGGTAACTGCACTTAATATGTGTAATCGTCTTTTTAATGCAAATGTCATAAATCTATATGAGGCACACAAAAGAAAATATCTTTACTCAAATGCTTGATATTGGAATGTTCGGTATAAAGCACTGAGTTGTTTTATGGTTAACTTGCACGTTTCATATCACATTCAGTGTCTTTGTTCCACTTTCATATGCCAGTATTTTAAAGAAACCCATTCTAAAAGTACTTGTTTTAATTTCCCGTTTTTGAAAAATGTTTAAACTATTCCAAAGTGAACTAAACTAATCAACAAAATCTTGCAGAAACAGCTGCTGTTACTGTACATCCAAAAATCAAACAAAGCCCAAATGGTGCCAGGTTGTACTTTCCTTTACTAACAATTTGTACCACAGGACAGTGCAGTGTGATTTTAACCAGGCAAGGCATTAAAATGCAAAATTTAACAATATGTATTATATATAATTAAAGTAGAAGAATTTATTTTAAAACCTTTTTAACAAATCTACAGGTAAAAAGCTTAGAAGGTCAATTCTGCAGAGGGGGACCACAAAAAGGACATTTAAAAGTTAGCACGCAAAGAAAAAATGTTCTTCTTCTGATGCCCAGAAAACACAACTGGGTCCATCCATGCATTTGATTAATTCTTTATCCAATTCAGGTAGAAAGGGTGGAGAAAGAGCGAAAAAGAATATTATTGTGTTGGAGCTAAAAGCACCAAGAGGAGACGAGTATATGGAGGAGAGTGGCAGGGTCAAGGAGTGCCAGAAGCAAGGCTGGAGGGCAAGGTACTTCTCTGGGTGCTTTGTGGGACAGTTGCTCTGCCAGGCCTACACTGGGCTTGGCATCACAGGAGAGAAAAAAGGCTACAGAGAAAGCGTCAAGATGGCTGATGACAAAGAGTGGATATTTGTGGGCAGCTGCCAGGGCAGAAGTTGCGGTCTGATTAATCCTGGCTGTGTCGCCTGGCTGAGGGTGTATCACGGTTCTATCAGAAGGGCATCCAGTTTAAAATCTTTGCCTAATCAAACATGCATATCATCAACAATATCATTTTCATACTGGATTGGTTGGAGCCTGGGATGAAACACCAACTGGCTCTAGTGCTGTTGGCCAACAGGGTGCCAGTGGGAGACAAAGAAAGAGGAACGGGGGAAAGCATGGTAGAAGGACGACTCGTGGATGTAGTGAAGAAGGACATGCAGAGAGGTGGTGTGACAAAAGAGGACACTAGGGACAGGGTGAGACAGAGGCAGACAATCTGCTTTAGTGATACCTAAAGGGACCAACCAAAAGAAGAAGAAGAAAAAACATATCTTTGGACTGTGGGAGAAGGCTGGAGTACACAGAGAGAACACACAGGCACAGGGAGAAACTCCACACAGGGAAGCCCCAGTTGGCCTGTGGCTTCATCTCAGAACATTTTTGCTGTCAGATGACAGTGCTGCACCTCGGTGCAACAGGTATCAAATCAAAGTGTAACTGTAAAAGACCAGCTTTTAACATGGAAATTCTACAAAAACAAACTGTTTCCCAGAGCCATTACCAGCGTCTGCACCTCTGTGCTACTATTCACAACACTAGTTGAGAAACTGTCCTAGCAGGGCCTCCTCCTGAAGGTGCCTGTGTGGGCGTGTCCCACCACCTCTTCTACCTGAGGTGCCCCCTTTCCCTTTTGTGCAGCTGACTCTCATCAGTAATTAAAGAGATTTAAGCCCAGGGAAAGGTGAGCTCTGGGCCAGAGTGCTATTAGTGTGGTTGCAGCTAGTGAGCTGTATGTCTGAGTGTTTCTAGCTAGTGAGCTGTGTTTTTGGTGGTTTTCAGCTAGTGAGCTGCGTGTCCGTATTTGCAGTTAGTGAGCTGCTCTCTCTTTTTGACTTACTTTTTACTTTATTGACCAACGCTTGAGTTTTGTTTGTTTTCCTTAAATGGTGATAGCGGCTTGTCCGTCTCTTTTAGTTGAGCTACTTTAATAAAACTATTTAATTTAACCCTTTTGCCTCCTTGACTCCTTTTCCTGACCCGGACACTTTTTGTTACTTCCCCCTCACCGCCTAGACCCCTCAGGGGAACGTAACAACAGTTTCAGGAAATGTCTGGAAACTAGCTGGATATTCAAAACGTGGCAGAAATATTTCTAAATATGCATGAATTGTTTTATTTTA